AAAATTCTATTTCCATAAGCTTTGAATTTTTAGAAGTTTTTAAAAATTTTTGAACATACGTACTAGAAAATATTTAAAATTTTGCAAAAATTTTGAATTGTTTTAAAATATTTTAATATAAAATCATATGAAATTAAACAAAAAAAATTAAATAAAAAAGTAAAAAATACAAATGATGCATTTAATTTACTAATAAGCTTTCCAAATCATACATTTAATTTAATTAGACCAGTTGAATTTTCTTTTCTTTTGTTTAATATATATATATATATATATTTACAAAAGAGATCAAATCATAAAATAAATGAAAAAATAGATAAATGCTAGAGTCTGAACTTCATATTTATAAAATAACATTTTGTAAAAATAATTATATAAATTAACTAAATCAATCAATAAATTTATATACAATCTTCTTATAATCTCATTAAAACTACTCATTTTCTTGCCTAACTAATAACTATATATGCCTTAATGACATGAATTAGATTCAATGTACCAAAATAAAAATAAATAAATAAATAAATTCAAGTCAACGTGGAAGTGATATGGAATCACTTATTTTTTATGTTTAGTTAATAAATTAAATGATTTTTTTTAAAAAAGTTCATGATCATTTTTTTTTTGTTTTTCTTCCTTTTAATGCAAAAAGGAAGAATATTTTCTTTTTTTTTTCCATTAAAAATGTCAAACTCGTACTCCTTTTGATTAACCAAAAAAAAAAAAAACATAGTCTTCTTATAATCCCATTTAAAATTAATCATTTTTAGTGCCTAACTATATATATAAACAATGACAAAGAATTGGATTCAATGTACCAAATGAAAAAAAAATGGACATAAATTCAAGTCAATGTGGAAGTGATGTAAAAAATTTTTATTTTTATTTTTAGTTGATAAATTAATAAATTTTTTGTTCTTAACAATAAAAATTTATATTTTATTATAATATTTGTGCATAATATATGCGCTATGTTTATAAGTCAATCATGCAAGTTATCCAACAAATAATCAAATATGATATTCATTTAAAGTTCAATCTTGAAAAATAATGGAAGATTAATTTTTTATATACTTATTAAAAAGTTTAAGTGGTTATGAAACTGAGCACTTTGACTAACAACTGTATGATTTATTAATAAAATGCTTAATTTTTAATTTTAATGATTAAAGTTTAAATCCTAAAAACATTAAATACAAAAAAAAAAAAGGACTTGGAATATTAACCTTCCTCCACTTCACCATGGGCTATGCCTATCCTGTGGACAAGAAAAATTATTGTGGTTATACGAGTCTGAACTAATCTCTTCTTTAAAAGAAAAAAAAAATATGTTTGAACTAATTTCACAAGCAATATTAATGATATTTGTTTCACTAAAATTATGATGGTACCTAATTCTTAGATCTTCTATTTCGATTTTTTTAATTTGAAAAAAAAGATTTTGAATTACAATTTTTAATTATGCAATCAAAATATTCATTTAAAATAATTTTTTTAGATTACACTAAAATATACTCCTTTGTTGAACATCCTTATGAAATCTATATATGAGAAGTAAAGATTTGAAATTTATTTATTTTTCTAGAATAAATGTACTAATTCATTAATAGAATTACAAGTATAAGATACAAAACCTATCTAGCTATACCAAATAACTAGTACATTTAGAAGAGAACAAATCATTAACCAACCAATATTAAAGGAAAAGGGTCAGAAAATATATATATATATAAATTATTAAATATATCAATAATGGAGTTTTTAAACTTTATAAGAAAAGTTAAGGCATATTTAAAAATATAAAAAAATTATCCTTCATCTTTTGATTTAGTGATTAGAAAGGTTTTATGAGGATATAAAAAATTTGGTTTCAAGTCCAGATCTCTTCTCTTTCCTTCTTATAAGGGTTATGCTCTCCCTTGAACGAAAATAAATAAATAAATAAATAAATGAGATATGTGTTAATTTTTTAACGTACTATTTATGGAATTAAATGTTTACACTGACAATATATCAAATACTAATGTATTAAATATTAACATATATATATATATAAGATTGCATACATGTAACAAATTTCACAAATTTTATAAGTATTTATAAAAATTTGGCAACATAAAGATTAAAAGAAAAAAAAAAACCGTATATATATTGTTATTCTTAAATTGGATCAGGCCATTAAATATTTTATTTATAATGTTTTTTTTGTTTGGCAAAACTAAGAAAAGGTGGTCATGCAAACATTAGACAAACAAATGAATCATCACTTTAATTAGCTGTCATGAACTTTAGGATTACTTAGATGGACTCCAAATGTTCTTTTTCATAATTTTTTTGTGGATAGATCACTAAAAGACTGTATTCAATTTGACCTTTATTAATTTATTTAAATTATTATTTGATTAAAGAATAAAAAACTTTTTTTATTAAAAAATTTTATAAATATTAAAATTTGGATCTCTTTAAAAAGTCATTGCATAAAAATATTAATTTATATAATTTATCTTAATAATCTCAACTTTAACCAAGGTCATGACTCATGACCACCCATTTTTCTGATATTCTTTTTCCTAATCATCATAAACTTTAAAGTCGTTGCCAAGGGATTGATGGAAACAAAATCAACAGAAATTGGTACGTGTCACAATGCTGATAAACTTGGAAGTTACGTACAATAAAGTATTAAAAAACAAATTAAGCTCCAGCTTTTAAAGGTAGCCATGGCAGCTTGGCAAACGCGTTGAAGATGCAAATGCGTGTTAATAAACAAAATTCTCGTGGCTTCCACTTACCAAAATCTCGGACAAAAAGTAACAAGTGTTTTTATTTGAACTGATAAAAATTAAATATTTCGTTTATAAAAGTTATATTTAATTCTTGTTAGTAATATTTTTTTAATAAATGATATAAAAATTTATTAAAACTTATAATTTATCTTAACTTTAAAATGATATAATCTCCTCCCACTTTAAGTTTTTATTAAAAAAATCAACAAAATTAGCAGAGCGTGTGGCTATGTCTCAAAAAAAAAAAAAAAAAACTAACAGCCCAATCATTAGCAATTTGAACCATACAAATACAATTGTTAATAGAAATTGAGAATATTATAATTCAATTTGATGAGTACTAAGCTTTTTTATCATTAAAACATAAAGGTGTTTCGTTTGACATGTTTTTCCCACAAAATTGTCAATTTCTTGGTTTGGGCTTGTTGTCTCGAAATACGTTGCAGCTGTTACCTTGCTGATGCATTTTTTAATGAACAAAAAATGTCATATTTCAGACAGGCTTTGGTTTGCTTATTTGGGGAAATTTCCATGCAAGCCTGGCTGGAGCAGGCCAGCAGGTTACTTCACTAACACTCTAAATTGAATAAAATAACATGTGACGACAAACTTAAACCAAACAATGAAGAGATTAGTGTTTCTGTTTCCCTGATGACATGAGAAAACTCTTCTTGGATGAGATGATCGAGGTTGTTCCCTAATTTCTTTGTCCAACAGTGAAATATGTACTTCCTTTCACACCTAAAATGCCCCTTAAGCAAAACTCAATTGGCTACTTAGTTTTAATTTAGAAGGGCCCTTTGCCCTCTTTTTTCTTTTTTCTAAGCAATCGTTTTGATCTCATATTAAAAAAATATATAAATATAATATGATATATAAAAATATAAATGTAAATTTATGAAATATTTTTTACAAAATAAAATCGTAAGATTTTTTAGTTAAAGTGAATAATATCTCGTAAATTACGTACGAATCTTCACAAATGATAATCACTAAGTACTATATGATAGGGTCGTAAGAGTCATTAAGTGTTACATGGTGGAGAGTAACCTCTAGGATTTCAACGTTTGGTATAATCTTGATCTTGTGATTAGATTAGACTTGACAAGAGACATCAAACTTTAAAAGTAAAAAAATTGTAATGCCTCCAATCTCACATTGAAAGAATGTGTAAGTATGATATGATATATATATATATAAAGAAAGATCTAAACCAAACTGTGAGATTTTCAAATCAAGGCAAAAAATACCTTGTATGTTGAGTGTGAATCTCTACAAATTATCCCAAAATTTTGTCTCACACATGATGCATATAATGTAAATGTTATGAATCTAACTTGAAATTAATTGATAATAGATGAAAATGTGTAATTGAAATATAAAATCATAAAAAATTAAAATTTAATAGCTATGAGATAATATCAATTTAATAACCTCACATCTCGTGTAAATAAAAATAAAAGTCTATTCGATTACAAATTTGAAAGAAATAATAACCAGAAACCACATGCAATAACAACAAAATATAATCTAGACTTTAATATCACGTTAAGCATTAAATTTAAAACCAATTAACGTGAAAAAATTTAATTTGAATATAAAAACAAAAATAACTTAATATTAACAAAATGTACTACTTTAACAGCAACAAAGTACTTCATAGTCTTGCTAATTTTACAAATTCAGATGTGATTCAAACTTTCAGCTCCAAAAGAAATGAAAAAGGGTTTTATTACTACTTTCAGGTTCCTGAATCCTTAATTCCTGATAGACTTCTCAACTTTCTGGGGAACCCTTTTCTTCTAACTTTTTATGTTTGTTTCTCCCACGAACCAATTGCTATTATATCACCAAACTTCACTTTTTTTTTTTTTTTCATTTGACAAACTGTAATTCACTTGATAATAGACATTGTAACAATATGGAAGACAAACATAAAGAAGCTGAGCCCAAACTTTGGTGTACTGTACTTTTCAAGCATTATTCATGCTTGAGATGAAGATTTTTTTCAATTTTCTTCGTTTTGGCCATATTGTCTGAGTCTTCGACATAAAGATTGAATGACTATGATTTCAACATCACCACATGGCCCATATCCCTTCTCCAGTTTCCCCTTCTATTTCATGTTCATTCTTTCTCTTTCGGATCAAAAAATTGAAATCATATATAAAAATGCCACACATTTATAAAAGAAAAATGAACACTAATCTCTTATATAATTAAATAAGAAAAATAAATAAATGACGATGAACAACAATGATACACAACTATAAGCCCCCACCAGGCTTACAGATTTACCGGCGTGAATTCGGTTAAATCCTCACCGTTGAAATTAACTCTCTCTCTCTCTCTCTCTCTCTCTCTCTCTCTTTGTTTTCTTCCTCGAAATTCTGATCAGCGCAGTCCCTTTTTCTCTCTACAATGGTTTTTTGGTTTCTTCTACACCGCCTAATCACATTATTATCATAAAATAATGTACAACTTGGATCGGTAACATGCGAATGATCCCACGGGAACATCTCTTTTATCCAAACAATCAACAAGCGTAAAACTCGACAAGCTCCTCCAAAGAATCAGGCTGAGGATCAGCATTTTCGAGCATCCAAAGCAAGTGTTCGAACAAGACAACCTCGCACGAAACGTTGATGATGCTGTCATTTTCGCCAGACCATTCCGCGAGTTCGCGAAACAGGGGCTTGTCGATAATGGCGGAGCTAATAAGGTATCGCCTCCGAGATTTTCCCACGTAGACAAGCTGGAGATTGGCCGGTGATTCTTCGTCGATGTCAGAAGCCGCCACTACGGAGCTTGATGTCGGGCGGCTTTGCTTGCTGCTGAATGAGTTTAGCTTCTTGAGAACTGACTTGAGCTTCGTCAGCTTGTTGCTGCCTTTTGCCATTGCGTCTTTCTTCTCCTCGGGAGCTTTCCGCCTGAGAAGAGAGAGGGTGCTTGTGAGCTAAGAAAAGGGGAAGCAAGGTTCGTTTATAAAGGAGTTAAGGAAGGGTGAAATTGTAAATGTGAATTGAAATAAAGTTATTTGAATTGGTCCCAGGTGTGGGGTCCGGGTACGGTAAAAAGACAATGGGCCAAGCAAAAGAAAAAAAAAACCTCCGATCTGAAATTTTTTTACACAAAAGTCCTTCGCCGCCGGTTTGGTGTGTAGTTGAATATTTTATGATGAAGAATATTTGAACTTAGAAGTTGGAAATTGAATTTTAATAAAAATATGTTGATTATTTTAAGCAGCTTAGTTATTTTAATAAAAGTGACCAAAAACTATTCAAATTCAACTTTTTAAATAAAAAATATATATGTCATTAAATTTATAGTTCAATTGATGGACAAATTATTAATATGTTTTTATTCAATCAATTTGAATGAAAAGCTAAAGAATGGTTGAATTTGACATATCATTATAATTGGGTTTGAAATTTTGGGGTTTTAAGAAATAATATTATTGTAATTTGAAAGAAGATAGATAATATAATTAAAGTGCATGATTCGTGATCATCATAAATCATCTTCTCGTTCAGGCACCAACTAGAAAGTTGTTGCTTTCTATACAGATTATTTATTCTCTTAATTAAATTTCCTGTGGAACTAACCTTTTTTTTTTTCTTTCCATCTTTTTTATTGAAGAAAATAGTTGCTTGATAGCGACAGACATGTGCAAGAGAGAGGGTTTAAATATGTTATCCAAATTCATTTCCCTTCTTTTATTGATCCTATTTCTTTTCTTTGTGCAAGATTAACTTGTCAAGGTATTTTCTATAACCCCAAAAAATAAAAAAGAAAAAGAAAAAGAGAGCTGATGCCCTCGGCTCCTTCTCTTCCAGAATCTACACCAATCGATGGTAACTACCAAAATTTTCTATTCAAATTTTGAAAAAGAAAAAGAAAGAAGAAGCTGACCTTTAGACCCACCTGCCAAGGAATAAACGTTTATAATAATTTCTTTTTTTTATATGGGAAACTTTTGCATTTCGTTTTTATTGTAGCAAAGGCATAAGAAAAATGCTCAAAAAGTTTCTTTACACATGTTTTTTAACCTAAAACAGTGTATTTAAATCAAATATCTTACCAAAAAAATCAAATATCAACAGCAAAGATGGGAAAGAAGCTTTGTGTTTTTCTTTTCTTTAAAGTCTAATATGCGTTGGCCGTGACGAAGGTTGGAGTTTCTTCTCTTGGGGCATGTAATCTCAACAAAAATATTTGTTTTTAATGTTTTTAATGCAAAGTTTCTGTTTTTTCAACTTAGAAAATAGTGAGAAAAAGGTGTTAAAAATGCACCTTTTACATGATTTTATGATTTTTTGGGTTAACGGGAAAGAACTAAATCATGATTTTTTTAAGTGTGATTATCAACAAAAATATGTGTCTTAATTTAGAGCCCATGGTTTTAGTTTTTAGAACTACTGAAATCTGAAATTTAGATATCTTCTATATATATAGTGAAGACCATTAAGAATTGTTAACAATTTTATTATCTGTTGATAGAATTTTAAATTCTTAATTTTAATTATTGAAACTCAATCTCTCGTAATCTCGATTATCAAAAATGAAAATCTAACGATGCAAAACAAAACAAGAATATGCCTGTTAATGTTAGATGATCTTTTGGAACAACATTTATGTGGTGAATAACATTTTAGGGGTTCAAGAAAATCCTTGATAAAAGTAAATTGGTGGAGACTGAGCAATGGCATGTGAGCAACACATGGAAAATGTCCCAAAAATATGAACCATCAACATACTCCTAATGTGGATTAATATAATATAATTACCAATGTCATGAAAAATACACTGCTTACAAATCCTTTAATTACAAAAATTTATTGAATTAGATGTTTAACTTCTTCTAATAATAAGTGTCATAAGGTTTTTCGTATGGAGACTCGATCGCTAGACGTAAAGATCAAAAAGTCACCTCCATTTTTTTTTTTATTGAGGTGTGATTGATCACCGGTCTTACGAATTTGAGGTTGGGTTCGAGAGTACATTTATGTGTGAGAAAAGTTATAGCACTCTCACAACGCCCATCCGAATATGGTACTAATTAATTTTATATGATCCTAGAATGATTTTGTTTGAATAATCTTTTTTTTTTATCATTCTTATTTCTTATTATCGAAAATTTTCTAAGTTATTTTCGATACTTTTAGTATAACTTAAAATTTTTTTATCTCAAAAATATTTAAAGAAATAACTTATTTTATTGAAAAGATTCCGTCATTAGATTTGTTTTAATATAAATATTTAAGTAATCATAATCTTTTTATACCAATACATTTGGTATGGTTTTAAAAAAATTGAAAAAAAATCACCACTTTAATTCCTTCTTAATTTTATTATCGACGAAAATTTTAATTTACTTAGTAATATTTATTGATTTTTTATTTTATTATTGAAGTAAAATTTATTGCTTGAACTTTCAAAATATTTTCAACATTTTAAAACTATTTTGAGAAAATCTTTTGTTTAAGAAATTTTGATAAAGTCACCATTCGTGACTTTTATTCATGTAAAATTTTATTTATTTCGACAATTTAAACATTTTTATTTTATTATTGTTTTGAAAATGTTTTAAAAAAAATCTTACTAACACTTTTGGCAAAATTTTAAGAAAATATTTTTTAAAGAATCATCACTTGTGATCTTATTATTATTATTATTATTATTATTATTATTATTATTATTATTATTATTATTATTATTATTATCTAATGTGAATATTATTATTATTACTACTATGAAAAATTCTAAAATATTTCCAACACTTTTGGAATATTTTAGAGATTTTTTTTGTGTGTGTGAAAAATCACCACTTGTGATTTTATATTTTTATTAATAATATTTTTATTTTTTTATGCTTGAAGAATTTTAAAATATTTCTAACATTTTTAGAATATTTTAGAAAATTCCTTGTGCAGATATTTTTAATAAAATCATCATTTGTGATTTTATTTCTATTTTAACATATTTTATTTATTTTTCATTATTCTAGTTCATTAAAATGTTAATTTTCATTATATCATTTTATTATTTTAAAAATATTTAAGAGCAAATTAAGATTTTAAAATTTTCTAAATTTACTTTTAAGCAAGTTTTTTTTTTTAAAAAAAAAACTTATACTTTCTATCATTTATTTTATTTTTCTATAAAAAATTTATAAAAAATAAAAATAAAAATAACATAAAATCATAAATTAAATAATAGAAATATACAAAAATTTTGAACAGAAAAAAATAGAAAGATAAAAAATTATGGTAAAAATACTTAAAATATCTTTGGTCAACATTTGGTCAAAGGATGGTTCAATGGCTCAGTCTATCGGTTCAGTGGTTACCTGGCAATTTGGCAATCCAAATTCAATTCAATTGAATCGGTCAAAGTCAGCAGTAAGTCGGGTCGGGTGCACAGATCCTGAGTTAAGTCTCAGGTCGACGGACGGATCTTCTGAGTCTTAAACGACGTTATTTTGTCTTGGCAGCAATTATAAAAGAAAAAAAAAATTCTTTCATTTTCCTTCTTCCCTCTCTTTACCTTTCTCTTTCTCTCAAACTCTCTCTAGAAAGAAACCAACCTAGCCGGAAAACCCCAAACCTAGAATCTTGTCGATTAACGTCATGCCAACCGTCGTTGACGATTATCGGCCACCATTGTTGGTGACCAAAAAAATTTTCAAAAAATCATATTGATTCTTTCCTCTGTTCTAAACATAGATCCAACTACCATTTTGCGAAAAAAAAATCCCAATAGATGTAGATTGGGTTTTGAAGTTTCAAAAAGAAATATTTTTTTAGGTTTTTGCTTTTTTTTCTTTGATGTTGTTGGTTCCTGTTTATAGGGGTTGTTGTTTCTGGATTATTTGGTTTGAGATTTTGTTTTGATCTTGGATTTTTGTTTGACAGAAAGTTTTTTCTTAATTTGGCATAACCTTTTTTTTTTTAATTTGATTTTTTTTTTCAATGGCTTCCTCTTATTTTCTTTTAAGAAATAAGCTCTATTTATAAAACTTTCTAGAATTCAAATCCTAATTTTTTTGAGATTTAAATCTTAGATTTTCAACTAACCTGATAGATTTTTTGTGATCGAAATTCAAGCTATTAAGTTAGGCAGGAGTGTCAGGCGTTTGCTAGCAGATAACGATGGCTAAGATTTTGGACTTTGAGGAGAGTATATTTAATGCACTAAAATCTTTGTCAAATAGATCATAAAAAAAAAAAAGAAAAGAGAAAAAAAATAATAATTGATTAAGGACAAAATAGATACCTACAATAAGCTTCATGATAATTTGTTTTTGTGTTAATTAATGATTGAAATGGGAACAATGATAATCTCATTAAATATTATAATTTGAATGCAGATTGATAATTAGAGAGAGATAATAATGTGATCATACATAGAATTTAGTCTTTGATTTGTAATCAAATAATGTATGTTAAGGGTCTTCCTAATTTGATCTGTCAGCATTCTGTTCCCTCAACTTTCAATGAACAGTATCTTGTCAGTGGTAAGTTGAGAAAGATGATTACTGAAGAATAATACTAAAAGTTTAAGCAAACAAAAGAATAAATAAAGAGAAAGAAGAAAAAAATGTGTCGCCTGTCCATCTTACAACAGTACCCGTTTAGATGTTTTAGGGATAAAATGAGAGCAAGGTTTTGTCAAAATCAATGAATAGAGAATTGGTTTTGGATGGTAATGAAATTTGATTGTTTATTGGGAACAAGATCCTATGATCTGCGGGAATTGAAGAAAATCAACATGCATCATCCAGATTATTCATCAAAAACAAGATTGATGTCTATTAAAGAGATATACAAAAACATATATAAGAAATGTCTATTTTTGATTGGGACCTAAATCCTGCTGAGATGCATGTGCTTAAGCAAATTAATGACGAGGGTCATCCTGATTATTGATCTTCATTGAGAATGGCTTAAGCCTTTTTAAAATCAAATTAAAAGTTGAAACAAACATCAAATGTAAAATTAAAACCCAACCCAAGATCCAATTCTTAATTCAAAATATCAAATAAAAGCTTCAATCCTAAAATTTTAAGTTTTTAACTCCCCAATAGAAGGTGACAATAGATCAAATGTAAAAAAATCGAATCGTGAAATTT